TTCGTCCTTCTCCACCTCCCCTTCTTCGTCTGCCTGCCAGTTTCCTTCTCCCCCCCCCTTGTTACACTCGAGGCTCGGAACTCTCATCAGGCGCGCCGACAAATCTCTGGCGCCGCAGCGTGGCCCAATTCGCCTCTTCCACGGAGGGGAGGTGGAGCAGGAGGAGCAGGATGGGGAGAGGAGGAGGAAAAAGAGGAGGAGGAGCAGGATGGGGAGGAGGAGAACGAGGAGGAGGAAGAGCAGGAGGTGGAGGAGGAAAAGGAGGAGAAGGAGGAGAAGGGGCAGGATAAGGAGAAGGAGGGGGAGGAGGTGCTTTGGTGTTCGGTGTTTGATGCTTGGTGTTTGGTGTTTGGTGTGTGGTGTTTGGCGTTTGGTGTTTGGTGTTTGGTGTTTGGTGCTTGGTGCGTGGTGCTTGGTGTGTGGTGTGTGGTGTTGGGTTTGGTGCTTTGTGTTTGGTGTTTGGCGTTTGGTGCTTGGTGCTTGGTGCCGTTTGGTGCTTGGTACTTGGTGCTTGGTGATTGGTGATTGGTGCTTTGTGCTTGGTGCTTGGAGTTTGGTGTTTGGTGTTTGGTGTTTGGTGTTTTGTGTTTGGTGTGTGGTGTGCGGTGTGTGGTGTTTGGTGTTTGGTGTTTGGTGTGTGGTGTTTGGGGGTTGGTGTTTGGGGGTTGGTGTTTTGGGGTTGGTTTGTGTTGTTTGGTGTTTGGGGGTTTGTGTGTTGGGGGTTGGTGTTTGGTGTTTAGTTTGTGGTGTTTGGGGAAGGCGGGAAAACCTGTAACGGTCCTACCAGGAGAACTAACCGACCGGCATTTGCTTCATTTTACCCGGATAACGAACCCTGTGATCGGAGAACGAACATTTTTCCCGGAGAAAAACTATTTTCCCTTCCTATATATAAGCCACCTCATCAGCTTGGAACCAGGAGGGGGAAGCCACACAGACACACATAATCGTGGAGTCCGTGGGACATGCGGAACACACGGGGAGATGTTGGATTTGTGCATATTTATCCGTGTGTCCTTGGGCACCTTCACTGACGTGCTCCCGCTCTCCCCCTCCGCCCGCCCCCCCCGCCTTTCCTCAACCCCGAGGCCCCTCGGCTTCTGCAAACTCTTTCGGGCCTCGGCGGCGTGAGCACTCCAAGTGAACAGGGGCGCCCTCGAGGGCGCGAAGTTATTCGCGCTTCGCGGTTCGGCTCCGATTCCTCTTCATCCTCTTCTTTTCCCCTGGGGGGCGGCGCGAGAGTGCGAAGTTATTCGCGTTCCGCGCAGCGCGAAGCGCGAGGTTCGGCGCCCCTGGATCTGGCGACAGGAGCTGTGGCCCAGAGCTTGCAGTCAGCAAGCTGACGTGTGGAGCTCGAATGGGGAAGACAGACAGACGGACCAGCCTGGCTTGTTGCGCGCCGCCAAGGACTGGGGCCAGGGTGCCGGCTCGGACGAAGCCCCCACTTCTGCACGTCGCGAAGAAGTCACGGCGTCACAGTTTGGGGCTATCGTCTGCCTCCCGGGGGCCCGTACCCCCAGAGGCCGTCATCAGGAAACTACGCTCCTTCTTTCTCCTCCTCCTCCTTCTCCTCCTTCTCCTCCTTCTTCTCCTTCTTCTCCTTCTCCTCCTCCTCATTCTCTTCCTTCTCCTCCTTCTTATCCTCCTTCTCCTCCTCCTTCTCCTTCTCCTCCTTCTCCTCCTTCTCCTCCTTCTCCTCCTTCTTCTCCTCCTTCTCCTCCTCCTCCTTCTTCTCCTTCTCCTCCTTCTCCTCCTTCTCCTCCTTCCTCCTCCTTCTCCTCCTTCTCCTCCTCCTCCTCCTCCTTCGCCTCCTTGTCCTCCCAGGGCCGTGCCGATATATGTTTCTCCAGCTCCACATCCTGCCCTGCCCCGCCAAGAAATTGGGCCAGAATGCCAGCTCGGAAAAACCCATGGCGTCTCCATGTCGCGAAATAGCACGACGACGACGTTCAGCTCATTGGCTACTCTGTGCCTCCCAGGGGCCCGTACGGGCCCCAGGGGCCGTCGACGGAAACTACTCGGGGCAGCTGCGTTGAGATAAGATCAGGACGTCGGATGTCTGGGAAAGGAAGGGAACAACATCTGGTGCACGCAGCTGGCTTCGGCCTCGCCGCCGGGCGCTTTGTATTGAAACGTTGGCGCCTCCTGGCGCCTTGAACCGCCGGGGAAGCCAAGCGACTTCCCCTATACATCACCACTGGGTGCGTCCGACCCGAGAGTAGATGGGGTCGGATGGTCACGCCGCGCTGCCGATGCATTGGCGAAGCGGTGCGATCCCCCGACCCCATCTACTCAGGCCCCATCTGGGAGGCATCCAGTATTGTAGTATGACAGTGCCTGGACCCGGGGACCCGTCACGCAGCCCAGAGCGATGATTCATACATTGGGTTTCAGGCTTGCTCGTGGGCGTCGTCGTCGTCATTGAGATTACGTGATCGTCCTCGGCTAAAGTCCTTCGCATCGGCAAGCAGGTTTTTTCTGAATCGCCCCCCCCCCGTCTTCCCCCTTCTGGGCTTCTGACCGTAGCATCCCACTGATACCTTGCCCTTCTCGTCGCTCAGGTGGTGACGTTCTTCCTTGGGACGTGTTCCCTCCCATCGCTCTTGTACATGGTCCCGTGCCATTGCTTGAGCGTTGGGCCAGACGAGCCGGCCGGGCCGCCAGAAAAGGACACGCCCGACGCGGGCAATGGTACGGGTGACATCCTGCTGTGAGCGACCCGCAGTGAGGCCCGATTGTCGCCATGAGCAGTTACAGTCGGGGCGCTGAAGAAGGAACCCTTTTCGCTGGGGAGGGGCTCGGTGTTCCTTGATTGTTTCAAAGTTTGCCTCGGGTTTTCTTGGTTTTTCCATAGGAAATCGAGGTTGAATTTATGGGAAAAAGGGGCCTCGTTCCTTATTTGTGATTCCTTAGGTCAACGCCTCGACTGTATGTCTTGAGGGAAAAGGGTCCTGAGGTTTGTCGCCCTTTCCGTGCTCTCGGGGCCACTTCTGAGCCCCAGCATTGTCCAACATCGAAATCGATTCAGGATTACAGTCGAGATTGATTAATAGGTCGACCCTGCCAAATCAAGGGTACCCTTGTGTCCTGTGCCTCGCAACCCGTGCCTTCTACATTTATATGGCAATGTGGCCCTCGGAAGGGTCTTGTGTCCTCTCGCGTGTCCTCTTCAGTCAACCCCGACTGTAGCAAGTGTTCCTTGGGGGAGGCCCCGTCGTGGCCAGGACCCGTTTCCCTCAGGACCTTCCTCGTTCATGCCACGAATGGTTTTGCGAGTCGACCCTGCAAGACTTGGGGTATTCGCAGCGTGAGTTTCAGATAAGAGTTAGCAGTTCTGCCATCTCCGTTTTTCGCCAGCGCAGACTCAGGGGCAACGACGGGCATGGGGGGAGACTGCCCCAGGGTCACGATGTTGAAGAATTCTGAGCACCAGGAATGTACCGAGACTGGAGGGCTTACACGTGTCGGGCCCTGGGAGGCGATACTCGTTCGACATTGTTTCGATACTGTTCTTGGTGCTCGAGATTATGTCTGGGATGTGGTCCTTAAGTACGATGGGAGCAAGATAGTCCCAGCTTGGCATCGCTCGGACGTGTGCGTTTTTTTTCCTCGGCGAGGACCATCGAGGAGCATTCTTGATCGTTTGGCGAAAAAAACACGCACGAAACCAGAAAAAACAGGAAATGGACGTCCGAGCGATGGCGAGAGCCAGGGGGGGGGAGCACCGCCCCCCGATCGCCCGCTCCCCGCCGATCGGGGCCCTGGGCGCCCAAGCCTGCCCGCAAGCGTGCGGCCCTGCTGTCGAGAGGGCTCGTCGCCGATCTGTCGGCGAGGCATCGTCGACCCATGGGCCTCTAAGCCAGGCGATCGCAAACATGGATGAAGGGGCTCCTCCCTCCTCCTCCTCCTCCTCCTCCTCCTCCTCCTCCTCCTCCTCCTCCTCCTCCTCCTGCTCCTCCTCCTCCGCTCGAGAGGTGCCAGCGCTGGGGGGGGGGCTAGGTTCGGGGGGCGATGTGTCGACATCCAGTTCCAGGCGATCGCAAACATGGATGAAGGGGGCGTGGGAAATCCCGGATTTTCCGCCGCCGAGCGAGGCGGCACCGCCCGCATGTTGGGGGGGCACCTCCCCCGATCCATGGAGTTGGCGACCGAACGCCAAGTTCTTGGACCGCTAATCCATGTTTGCGCGCCTCCGACTAAGTCCCCCCCCCTTGGGCCAGTCCCTCCCCTGTCTCGGCGGCGAGCGAGCGAGAGGAGGGGGAAGTGAGAAGAAGAAGAAGGCCTTCCGAGACGGCGGCGGGGAAGGCTTCGAGCGTTTCTCCATAGGTTTGGGGACTTCCGAGCCTTTCGAGAAAGCCCGCCCCTTCTCACTTCCCTCCCCCGGGCTCGCCGCGACTCGCCGCCGACTTTCGTCCCCCCTGGCAGATGGGCCGTAGACCGTAGAGCGCGGCATGCGCGCGCGTGTACAGAGGCGCGGCGGGAGGGCTCAGAAGGCCGCGGGGACCGAGGCGGGCGCCGCGGTCCCCCCCATCTTCTGCTCCCGGGTCCACTCTCCTGTGCTTCCCCGCCCCGTCCCGTCCTGGCCTTCCCGCTGGGTCTGAGCCCTGCATCCGGGGTTCGAGCCGAACGGGTGTTTTAGCGATCTCGCGGAGCGCAGTCGTTGTGATTGCGTCCCTTCCGCAACCGCGGAACGAGTACAAAGCGAGGGGGAACGAAACGCCTTGCTTTGCAAAGCACTGCTTCGCTCGAGCCCCGCTTTCGATTTCGCGGAGCGCAGTCGTTGTGACTGCGTTCCTTCCGCAACCGCGGAACGAATACAGAGCGGGGGGGGAACGAAAAGCCTTGCTTTGCACAGCACTGCTTCGCTCGAGCCCCGCTTTGCCGAAGCCTGCGGCCTGGGAGAGCCGCGCGGATCTCGTGGATCAGCGCAGGGCCTCCCTGGCGCTGCCCATGGCAAGCTCCGCGCGCCAGGGAGGGGCCCCCTCCTCCCTCCTCCTCCT